AGGCACTTGTTACTAGCGTGGCACCTGTTACTACTAGTAAGGCACCTGTTACTAGTAGCTTCTTGTTTCTCTTAGAACTCCCAGGTTTGAAAACAACCAACAAATGTTCTGCGGAAACCGAGATCAATCATACCCATGCTGATGCATTTATTTAGGCTTGCTGGGGTACAGGCTGGATGGATGTCTTTTGCAATTCATTGCAAAACCAATTGCCTTAATTCAACCGAACGCTGGTGTAGAGGGAACTGAGCTTGACATGAAGCTATCAATTTTGTCATGACCTCAGCCACCTGAGTTCCACCTAAGAGCAATGGCCTCCCACCTAGGAGCGGTGGCCTCCACCCTCTAAGAAAGGAGTTCTCATGCATATTTTGTATCTCACCAGTTGCACTCAGCTTCGATCCAACCGAACATTTTTCTGACACCGATTGATTTGGTCAATCCTGTCACTGAAGCATAGACCCCTCCAGCTTGCCTACTGGCTACTGTTGTAGCTACCTTTCGTTCACCTCCTATCTCAAGTTACTTAACGCCAACAAGCGCGTGGCGGATGTAGCGCTCAAAAGATGACACTTTGTGTAGTACAAAAACTAAAGGGCTCAGGCTTGATGATGTGGTTCCTAGCATCCTTGTTCCTAGTAGCGATGCCCTTTCTTGCTCCTAGTAGCGATGCCAGGAGCTCCTAGTAGCGTCCTTTCTCCATCTTTTCTTGAGGTTGCTGCTACAAGATCACGTCTATAATTCAGCGACCAATCATTCAGTTGATAGAGAAGCGTGGATGCTCCGGCTGATGGACACGGGACATGAGGCCAGGCAGAAAAGAAGGTACATAATGCGGCCTTCAGAAAGGGGCTCCTGAATAGGGGGCTGTACTTGATCTATCTCTGCGTGATTTCTCGCAGGTTGGAGGAGATCGCTATTAGGTTGGAGGCCTTCGTTATTAGGTTGGAGGCCATTGCTATGATTTCTCTTTCGTTGGTTCTTTTTTGCTCGTTGGAATGGCAAGCTGACGACCGGTCATTCCAGGGCGACATCCTCCATCAGATGAGTGACGCCTGGACAGATCCTAGCGCAATGAGCGAGCCTGTCTTGGCAATCGGGGACATGAAGGGCGACGAGAAGCTCGATAGACGGCTCAAAAGCAATCCGTTTCTTTTTAGGTTTCCTTTAGTTCCAATACTTGACTCTAGTAGCCGCTGTAAAAAAGATGCTGAAAGCTCAGGAGTGGACTTCCAAGCAATATTTTCGCCTACGAGACTGACATGAGCCCAGAGCAGCGTCGTTCAGCGATTGAACTTTGGCTCACCCTCGTCAGAGAGGTCGGTAGACGGTAGATTGTCGGTCGTAGCCTGGTTTCACCAAATAGCAGTAACAAGGTTCGCTACTAGGAACAAGTGCCACGCTACTAGTAACAAGTTGCTCCTAGTAGCGTCCTTGTCGAACGCAGGCTGTTGGCTTTGCTATGGGGGCCCAGCAGCTTGAAATGCAAATTGAATCACCGGGTGTCTGGGAACCTCCGTGTGACTGTCTTGGGTTTGCTATTCCTTTTCTCGAGGACTTTCGTGCCACAAAAAAAAATCAGAAAACATTGCAATAAATTAGAAATCTTAGAAAACTTAAAGAATCTAAGGACACCTTTCTAGGTGGAAACTTAGGAAACCTGAAGGAACCTAGCGATGGCCTCCAACCTAAGAAGTCGAGAGTCCTTAAACAGCGATGCACTTGTTACTACTAGCGTCCTTGTTACTACCAGTAAGGCACCTGTTACTACTAGCGATGCACTTGTTACTACTAGCGCCATTTCAAAAGAGTTCTATTTTTCAAAAGAGACGACATTTGTTTTCAAACAGCTGGCTGTAGGGGCTCTATTGGCCTTCAAAGAATCGTGAGATGATCGCAAACATCTTTTGCTATTCAAAGTCTGTGCTGGTGTCATTGGCGAAGCACTGCGTATGGGTGGCTGTGGGTCGTCCAGATGCAGTTCTGTAAAGAGTTAACCTTTGTTGGCTGCAATGACCTTTTCGTGTCTGCTTTTGCTGCGGGAAAGCTTGCCGATGCGTAGGGCGCAAGCCGGAGTGATTATGAGAAGGCCATCACTACTAGGTTGGAGGCCATCGCGCAATCTCTTCTAGGTTGGGAGGCCATTGCTATTGGGTTGGAGGCCATTGCTAATAGGTTGGAGGCCATTGCTATTAGGTTGGAGGCCGTTGCTATTGGGTTGGAGGCCATTGCTATTGG